AGAATTGTTGTCTTAGTGCACCGACCCTTTAATCGTGTAATATATCTCATTCTCTGATAATTTTTTTGCTCCAAAGTCTGCTTTACTTCATACTAGATAGCCATTGCTGTTTCCTTTTGATTACTGTTTGCAAGGTGTGCATTTTATTCCACTCATTCCCTTTGAATCTACCCATAGTACTATACTAGAAGTAAGTTTGTTAGACACCATATAGTCCACATAATTGCATCTGTTTTTATAAACTCTGCCAATCTTTTATATTTAATGTCCTTAGAGTTTATGTAACTATCAATGTATTAGGGCTTAGGCCTGGCAGTTTTTAAATTAATAAACTTCACATTTTATAGTAGTTTTAGGTTTAGAGCAAAATTGAGTAGAAATTAGTTTCCACATATCTGGTTTCTGCACATACACAGCCTATCAACATCCCGTAGTGCATTGGTACTTTTTTTTTTTAAACAATCAATGAACTCATATTTACACATCATCATCCAAAGTTCATAGTTTACATTTGGGTTTACTTTTGGTGTTGTGCATTCTATGGGTTTTTATAAATATAGTGACACGTATCCCCACCATTGTAGTATCACAGAGGACAGTTTCACTGCCCTAAAAATCTTCTGTGCTCCACCTATTTATCACTCCCTCCCCCCAGGCACTGGCAACCACCGATGTTTCACTCTGTTCATAATTTTGTCTCTTCCACTCTGTCGTATAACTGAACTATACAGTATGTAACCTTTCGAGGCTGGTTCCTATCACTTAGTTATATTCATTTAAACTTCCTTCATGTCTTTTCATGGCTTGATAGCTCGCTTTTTTTTTAGTCCTGAATACTGTTCCATTGTTTGGATGTACCATAATTGTTTGTTTGTTTTTGAGATGGAGTCTCACTCTTGTCACCCAGGCTGGAGTGCAGTGGCAAAGCTCACTGCAACCTTGGCCTCCCAGGTTCAAGCGATTCTCCTGTCTCAGCCTCCTGAGTAGCTGGGATTACAGGCATGCACCACCACACCTGGCTAATTTTGTATTTTTAGTAGAAATGGGGTTTCTCGCTGGTCAGGCTGGTCCCAAACTCTCCACCTAGGGTGATCCACCCACCTCTGCCTCCCAAAGTGCTGGGATTACAGGTGTGAGCCACCATGCCTGACCAGGATGTACCATAGTTTATCCATTCACCTACTGAAGAACATCTTGATTGTTTCCAAATTTTGGAAATGATTAATAAAACTGCTGTGTACAGGTTTTTGTGTGAAGTTTTCAATTCATTTGGATAAATACTAAAGAATGTGAGTTCTGCATCATATGGTAAGAGTATGTTTGGTTTTGTACGAAAGTGTCAAGCTGTTTTCCAAAGTGGCTATAAAATTTGGCATTCCTACCACCAATAAAGGAGTTTTTGTTACTCCACACACATTTAGTGTTGACAGTGCTTTCAATTTTGGCAATTCTAATAGGTATGTAGTGGCATCTTGTTGTTTTATTTACTTATGAGACATTTCTTGCTCTGCAGCCCAGGATGGAATGCAATGATGTGATCTCGGCTCACCGCAACCTCCGCCTACTGGATTCAGGCAATTTTCCTGCCTCAGCCTCCCGAGTAGCTGGGATTACAGACATGTATGTGCCACCGCACCCGGTGGCGTATTTTTAGTAGAGACGGGGTCTCTCCATGTTGGACAAGCTGGTCTCAAAACTACTGACTTCAGGCGATCTGCCCTCCTCAGCCTCCCAAAGTGTTGGGATTAAAGGTGTCAGCCACTGCACCCAGCCATCTCGTTGTTTTAATTTGCGGTTTCCTAATAACATGTTATTGTTGAGTATCTTTTCATACGTTTCCTTGTGATTTGTGTATCATTTTTGGTGAGATGGCTGTTCAGTCTTTTGTTCATTTTTAATTAGGTGTTCTCTTATTGTTAAGCTTTGAGTCCTTTGTATATTTTGGAGAACAGTTCATTATTAGACCTAGCTTTTGCAAATATTTCCTCTCAGCCTATGACTTGTCTTTTCATTCCCTTAATTGTGTCTTTTGGAGAGCAGAAGTTTGGAATTTTAATGAAGTCTAGTTTATCAATTGTTTCCTTTATGTAGTGTGCCTTTGGTGGTGCATCTAAAAAGTCATCCAGGTTTTCTCCTACATCTCCTAGGAGTTTTATAGTTTTGCATTGTACACCTAGGTCTATGATCCATTTTCAGTTAATTTTTGTGATGGGTGTAAGGTCTATATCTAGATTTATTTATTTTTTTAACATGGGATATCCAGTCACTCCAGCATCATTTGTTGAAAAGACTGTCTTTGCTTCACTCTATGGCCTTTCCTCCTTTGTCAAAATTTGAGTTGACTGTACTTATATGGGTCTATTTCTGGACCCCTATTCTATTCCATTGGTCTATTTATTTTTGCCGGTACGAATTACTGTAGCTTTATTTACTGTCATTTTAGACCCTGTTATTTAGTAAGTTTTGATGTCATGTAATGTCAGTCTTCCAACTTTGTTCTCCTTCAATATTGAGTTGGCTATTCTGGGTCTTTTACATCTCCATGTAAAGTTTAGACTTAGTTTATCAATATCTATAAAATAACTTGCTGAGATTTTTTTTTTTATTATACTTTAAATTCTGCAGTACATACGCAGATTGTGCAGGTTTGTTACACAGGTATACACATGTCATGGTAATGGTTTGCTGCATCCATTGCCTCATCATCTACATTAGGTATTTCTCCTAATGCTATTCCTTCCCAATCCCCCCACCCCCTGCTATTCCTCCCCTAGCCCCCCAACTCCCCAGGCCCCAGTGTGTGATGTTCCCCTCCTTGCATCCATGTGTTCCCTTATCCGTGGAAGACACATTCCAAGGCCCCCAGCAAATGCCTAAACCTGTGGCTAGCTCTAAACCCATGTGCTGTCAATCAGAACACACTGTTTCCTGTCTTCAATGCCTTTTCCATCATTTACTAAGCACTTACCATGCACTGTTGCCATGAACTTCTGCAGCTTGAGGTGCAACAGCAAAACTAGCAGGAATTTTCTTCCTTCTTCACAATTTCACAGATAAAAGATTCATACTTACTATACTATACATTCTAAGTATACTATACTTACTATTCATTCTTACTATACATCTTAGCAACCTCAGCATATATTTTTTTTTCTTTACCTATTAAGTCAAGCAGTTTAACCTCTTCACTTAAAGAAAGTAGTTTATGGCTTCTCTTTGACATAGCTGAATTGCCAGCATCACTACTCTTGCACTTAAGGGCCATAAGTAAGTAAAATAAAGGTCACTTGAACACAAGCACTGTGATACCCAGTCAATCTGATAACCAAGAGGGCTACTAAGTGATGAATGGGAGGATGGTGCATACAAGTGTGGCTATGCTGGACAAAGGGATGATTCACATCCTGGGTGGACGGCATGAGATTTCATCACACTACTCAGAATGATGTGCAATTTAGAATTAAGGAATTATTTATTTTTGGAAATTTCCATTTAATATTTTCAGACCACGGCTGACCACAAGTAACTGAAAGTATGGATAATGGGGGACTATTACACATTCCTTAACCTCTGGGCATCTGTTAGCTCACTGGGGGTGGGGAGGGGTGGGAAAGATAAGGGCTAAAATATGCATAGCTAGTAGCTAACATAGAGCAGATACTTCATAAATGTTTCCTGGTCAACTAGAAGAGCTGACATTTACTGAGCACTAACTGTGTTGGATCTTATGTTCAGTGTTTTATATTATTTCATTTCCCAGTAGGTGCCATTAGCCCATTTTCCAGCTGACTCAGAAATTCGTTTGGTTTAGACAAGTTCCTAGCTAGGCGTGTGGTCGATGTGGGCAAGGTTGAAATACTAGCTAGGTAAGTGGCTGGCATGTGAGCCCTGCTTGGCTGATTTAAAATCTCATGCCCCTTCCATGACTGCACATTGCTGCCTTAAACTGTGATTATACACTGGAGTGAGCTAGACGGAAAATGAAAACGAAATGAGTGTTATTAAAAACCTAAATATTTTAAACTAAAAATATTCTTTCATGCCTTGGTATATTAAAGAAAGAAGGAATAAACAACAGGAACTAAAACAAGAAACCCTAGATGAAGGATAATTAAAAAGTGCTGTTAAATAGAATAGATACAAATGTTAAGCAGATGGTTGCTCTGATTTGTTTTGCAGAGGGTCATCGGGGACAAAGTAATTGTGCCTTCTTCACTTTCCTCCTTCCTCAAAAAATGAATATTAGTTCTCTTTATGTTCCATCTGATTAAGCTGTCCCAATACCACAATATAATGGGACAAATGAAAACAGAAGTCAAGTTTTATTCTTGGAAATCTCTCCACAGCAAGAGACAGTTAAGATTGCCAGGCCACTAAGCCTGTGCAACAGCAGCACTGAGTCTTAGCTTCTGTGTTCTGGAGTACCCGGCTGGGTGACTTCTTACTTGGATTAATGATTTCTCTACCACAAGAACCAACCTACACTGTTCATGAAACATTTTAAAGAACTGGTCACTTAGTCTTGGGCTGCGCAGGAGGGAAAGAGTGTGGGGTTAGAAAAAGTAAGGACATGAAACAATCAAGAAACCTGCAACCAAAGCATAGCATGAAAAGGAAAGAGGATATTTTAGTATCAACAGAACTAAAGACATATTCTTTGGAATTTGAGAGATGATTAAAAATCTTTGTTATTGTGGTAAAAAACTTCAGTAACAAATGGCTTCTTTCAGGTGCCAAAATTCACTATCCTCTTAATCTCTACATAAACAAAAACGGCTATGGCCATCAGCCAAACCAACAGGGTGGTTTAGGATTGTTTTGGAAATCTGAGTGGTAAGTGCTTCTGTGATGAAACCCTACTCTTGGTTAACACAGGATTGACTGGCTTTGGCTTTCACTTTAACCTCTGAAAGACATTAGTGTATACGTTTGCTGCCAGATTTAAAGATGGAAAAAATTGTGATAAAGGACATTAAACAGAACCCAGATAATGCCTAAACCTAATCATTTCCCACCAGTCCAATTTTATTTAGATTTTATGTGCTCACATATAGACACACTTAAAGAGCATGTTTATATATACATATATAAAATATAGATGATATAGGAGTTTCTGACAAAATGATTTATTACTGAAAATCCATTCACTATATAACCTTTGAATACTAGAGAAACTTCAATATGTACAAATCAGCATGAAGTTCCCAGTTCCCAAACTTTGGTTATATGAATATGCCTCAAGCACCGCAAAACAAACATTGGCTCTAATTTAAAAAGAAAAAAAGTACCAAGAAATTAAAAAAAAACAAAACAACAACAAAAAACCCTTCAATCCTCTTGAATCTGTTTTCTTTATACCACGTTGGGAAAACCCTCTTTTATTCCACATTTCCTTTCATCTCAGTTTCCAAAAATGGTATCAGTAAAAACTGATCAGAGGAAAAAAGACAAACCGTTATAAAGGTGATGTCTCAAAAGGGCAATTTCTGAAAATTATTTATCTTAAATAAAAAAACGATTTTAACCTAGGAGGTTTGCATTATGCAACATATATGAAAAAAACCCCTAATTCTTAATTTTCAGATTTTAAAAACTTAATGCAAGCATAGTAAGAGTTGAGTGGAAGGCTCATAGGGAGATTTTTAGCAAAATCAGTTAAAGAGATTCCTGGATTTCAACTTGTTTCCTGGCCATCACTGGCATCTGCAGGCTGCAGAAGCAACTGGTATAATATATGGGCAGGAAGAAAGAAACCTGACAGAATGAGCACAACCTTTCATGGGATTTCACAAGAGATCTGATGGACAAAAGAAATACGAATCAAAGAATGAAGACTGAAATAGAAGAAAACAGAAACAAAACATATCTAAGTCCACATGAGTCAGGATGGAGGGGGCCTAGATATACCAACTGACAACTGCATACACGTGGAAGAGACTGAGTCCTTGACTACAAATGTGGATTATATACACATTTATATTAACTTAAATCAATTCATATATTACACCTGACAGCTCAAACAGGACATCTCTGGTGGGAGGTGGGAGGAGACGCTATTTGCTTGGCTCCTCAGGTCCCTGTCCTTTGCCCTGGCTGGTCAGTTGTCTCTGCACAGGACTCGATGGCATGGTATATAAATGGATAAAGCTTGATGTCTGGTCCAGGGGTGGAACAGTTTCTGCATTCTTCATTGTAATATCGTAGCAACAGCTTATATACTTCTCCTGTACAGTAAAAGGTCAGACCACAAGCACATTAAGTATGCAATTTAAAAAACCTTAGAAAGAACACTCCAGTTTTATCTTAATCTAAATAGCATATGCTCAGATTTGACTTTTAAAAATACAGGATAAATTTCATATGCCTGTAAGGCTTTCCCAACATAAATTTAAAAAATTGTTTAAACTCTTTCAAGAAAGAAATTCTTAGCTCATGATAACAACAGGCTATACATGGTACATTGTCTATGCATTCTCCTAGAGTTCACGGCAACCCTCGTAATATACTTAGCTTCCAAGGTAGCAAACACACTGGGTGAACGCTGGCAGGTCTGAGAAATAGGACAGTGGGGCTTCTCAGGTCTGAACTTACCCTCATTCATCTCTCCCCTTTAGGTTTTTATATACACAAAAGTAAAAATGAACACTAACTCCAACTTCTTGACCTTACTTTAGTAAGCTGATGTACTCAATCAAGACTATGGATGAAACTTTGCCAGAACAAAAAGACTGCAAATGCTGCCCCTCTGAGAGCTTTGTCCTTCCTGCTCAGAGCCATGCTTTTGTTTCCTTGTACCCACTGTGATTCATCCACATTTAGCAAGTGTTCCCACTGAATGCTGTACAATCCATCTAGATACCAAGTGTCAAGAGTATCTCCTACTTACCAACAGTGAGGTTCCTTTCAGTAAGGAAAGTGTGCATGCTGTAAATGTCTCTCATCAATTCTGAGTCCCCAAAGGTGAAATAAACCACATCTCGTTCAGCTGCAGCAGCTGCCAGTATCTGTATTAAGGCTGAGGCAAAGAGAAAAGACACAGCTGTATCTTGACACTTCCCATCTAGATACCTTTAGCTCTTTCAACCAGATAAGTTATGGCTGGTGTGCCACAGCTTCATCCTAGATTAAGGATTTATAAACCGAACATACACAGTATCAGAAATGGTGAACACAAGACAGGCATAAATCATCTAATTGCGTGGCTTTTCAGATATGTTGCCAAGAATATCATAAAACTACAGAATTCCAACACAGGCACCTTTGCTGAACCACAAATAAAGGAAGCTGCAAACTGTGGGACTAAGGTGATATTTATATTCACTTCTGTTAATCTGGAACTAAAATTCTTGTATTTGCTTACTTGATACAAGTACTACTGTGTCTTATCACACAGCCACAGGCACATTTGGAAGGTTCTTATGTTCTCTTTAATCCCATAACAGGTGTTCTCAAAATGGGCTGGGTAGCATACCTGAATCCCTCCTGCATTCCCACCTCCACTGGTTGCTGCAGCATGGAAGCTGGAGTTCCCGAACACACTAGACACTTTCTGGTGTGTTATAAAAATGAAAAAATAATCAAGATCTACTATCTCCAGGAATCAAAGTTACAAATCACTGGCCCTGAAGTATGTTTCCAAAAATTTAGTTCCCTTACAATCGCAATAGATGGAATTTATTTTAAATAACCACAAAATTAAATATAGTTACAATTAAATGCCCTTTTGCTAGTTGTAGATCTCTTACTTCATAAAAGGGAAGATGGGGATCAAATCAAAATATTAAAGAGGGTTTTTTGTTTGTTTGTTTGTTTGTTTGAGATGGAGTCTCGCTCTGTCACCCAGGCTGGAGTGTAGTGTTGTGATCATGGCTCACTGCAACCTCCGCCTTCTGGGTTCATGCAATTCTCTGCCTCAGCATCCTGAGTAGCTGGGATTATAGGCACCTGCCAACATACCCGGCTAACTTTTGTATTTTTAGTAAAGACAGTTTTACCATGTTGGCCAGGCTGGTCTCGAACTCCTGACCTCAAGTGATCTGCCCGCCTCAGCCTCCCAAAGTGTGGGAGGGGATTACAGGCGTGTACCAATGTGCCTGGCCAAAGAGGGTATATCTTTTTATAGTTTTTATTTTTGAAAGCATGTTAATATTCTACATATTTACAAATTAAAATTAAAATACTAAGAATGGGAATGGGGAGAAGCCTACAATGGAAGGTAAACTAAAACAAATGAGCCTAATTTTAGTTCAAATGAATAACATAACTACACTGAAGAGAAAGGAAGAAAAGGAAGAAAGAAAGAACCCAAGTAACTTACAAAGACAATATAGGACTTACATAAGTCCGTAAGACCATAATATATGGTCTCAGGCCAGAAGGAGAGAACTGCAAACAAATTCCCAACTCTTTTTACGAGGGTTCCTTATCATAGTAGTACAGGTGAAGCAACTCTGAAACTATTTTTAACTGTATTAGAGGAATGAGCAAATGAATAAATGTGTTGATGCTGCTGGGAAATGGTGTCTCACTATGGAAGAAAGGACACACAAAAATGGAATGGAGGAAGACAAAAAAGAACTGTGTGGGGATGGACTGAAATGGAAGGCATTGGTGTATACACTCATGATGTCAAAAATGTGTGTGTGTGTGTGTGTGTGTGTACATATATACATTTTCTAGCTCTGTCTGCTAAAAGGGCCAAAAGGGAGATACCACAGTAGCAATGAGCACACTCAGCACCCAGATCTTGGTCTCTACTAATCACTGCCCCCAAATAGAACTAGATTGCTCTAAATGTTTAATACTATAGTTTGGACAAGGTAAAAGATGATCTCAAAATATTTTGTTATACCAGAAAGTAAAGAAGTACTCAAATGGATAAAAACCAAAAAACAAACACACACACACACGCACACACACACACACACACACACACACACACACACACCCAGAAAGGCCGGCTCTTGCCCACAGGAGAAAGCCAAAGACTAACTGGTAAGGGTGGAGGGAGTGTTAGAACAGGAACATCCATTCTTTGCAACCATTGTGGTAAAGTCCAGACAAGAGTCATTAACAGATTGAAATCTAGGGAAAATTTTGCCTTTGTCTTCCTAGAGATTGCTTATTAGGTACAAGAGAGAGAAAAAAACGTTAACTCTGCATTGGGGAAACTGGGTAACACCCTGACAGGGTGATCAAAATTAAGATCACCAGTAGTGTCAGATGGCCATGAAGTGCCTCTAGACAGTGTCACTGACACAGCATTTTGATGGAGAATGCATAACCTTAACCTCATCACAAGGAAAAGGCAGACAAACTCAAAGAATGTATTCTTCAAACACATCAATGTCATAAGAGACAAAGAAAGGCAGTGGAACTATTCTCGATTGAAAAGGAGGCTAACAAACATGACAACAATAGGCAGTAGCTGACCCTGGACCCTGTGCTAGAGGGGGAAAAGGCTAGAAAGGGTTTTATTAGGTCATCTGACAAAATGGGAATATAGATGAAAGAGTAAATAAAATATCAGTGTACATTTATGGATTTAATAAATATAATGTGTTTATATAAGAGAATATTTTATTCTTAGGAAACACACATTGAAGTATTTAGGAAAGAGGGCATAGTATATGTAACTTAAGCTCAAATGATTCAGAAAAAAAATTGCATATACGCATATATGTGCGTATACATACATATGCATACAAAAAGGTGTGTATTTTTATTTTTATAAATTTTAAGTTATTTAAAAAATTACATAGGAAGGAAAAAAATTTAAGTTGAACCAGTAAAATCCGATATAGTTGAGTATTTCCTAGATTTGGGAATGAATCTATGACATTATAATATACATAAGATTCTAAAATACCATCAAAGTATGTCCTAATTTCCAAACTAATATTATTGAGTATCCACAGCATGGGAGGTGCCATGACTATGCCTCATTAATCTCAGAGTATTGAAAGTAATTAACTCCAAAATAGAGGTAAGTTTTAATTAAAACTGCTCAACCAACTTATGCATACATTAAAGCTTCAATACACCCGATTTCAAAAGGTTCCTAATTAACCTACACTACACATAAAAATGAGAACTAATGAATCATCATCTTTCTCGACTAAGAAGTACCATTTCTTACCCTTTAGTGAAAATGAAAATTTAGCTTTAAGTATTTACTATTAAAAAAGACAGAGACTCAAAGAAGAGTCTTTTTCATCCTATTTCCTACTAGATCACTAGTCATTTGCCATTTGTGAGAATGAAATATTAATAAAAACATTTAAAATTTATCTCTTTATAGAGTTTATTTTGAGAGAAAAACAAATTTACATTACATTCTTGATTTCACACTCATTTCTATTTGAGTACATACTGTACCATAAGCACGTGTTAAACTAGTGAGGACTGAGAGACAGGAGATCCAAGTTCTATCCTCAGCCTTGTGCCAGCTATCTAGCTCTGTGACTTTAGCCAGTCACTTAATTCTCTTGGCTTCATTTTTCTCAACTACACAATGGAGTTAAATCAGATGCTCCCTAAAGATTCTTTCAGAGTTTAGAAATCCATAATCACTGTTGTAATTGTTTCCCCTCCATTGGATGCTAGATTATAAATACATAAATGAAATTTCCCGAAAGATAATCTTGATCCCAGACACATCAGTAATCACTGACAAAAGTTTATTTTAGATCTCCTTGTCTACAACCCCCAAGATCTTTGCAAATCTCCACAATTATGCTTCATGATTTAAGTAAACTCTCTTGCATCAAAAGTTAGATGAGAATAAATCACAAATCTATTAGAGTATGTGGACTGATTCCAAGTATGCTATAAAAACATCAAATTCTAACTTCAAGCACAACTACGTGCCAAAATAATCACTTAAATTAACCTGCAGGGAGCTTGGTTTTAATTTTCTTTTTGGCATCAATGTTAAGCCATGAAAAAATACAAATAAATATGAATAACATAAAAAAGTAATTCATAGTGTCCTGTTGCAACAAATGGACCAAGTAAAAAATGCGTTAGATGATGGATACTTATACCACAGGTGTGGTATGAGGCCACCAGCATGTAATATTGCTAACAACTGCTAACACTGGGCTCTTACAGCATGTTGAACACTGTTCTAGGAGCTTTACAAATACTACCTTATGATTCCTTACAAAAACTCGACAAGGTTAATTATTATTTCCATATTGAAAATAAAGAAATTTAGGCACCAAAAGGTTAAGTAATTTGTCTCAGGCCACACAGCCAGAAAGTGGTGGAGCTAAGACACCACTCAAGGACACATGCCCTCACCCACTGCTTCCAAGCTGCTGTGGCAATCTACCCAGCTCAACTCCAAGCAGACCTTACCACATGCCAGCAGAGCAACACCTTTATATCGCTTATTCAAATGACTTAAATGCATGCTGTCAAGGAGGCCAAAACAGTACAGATTTGAAAGTATTGTGCACATATTTCTACTGAGCTCACTTTGTGAGCTCTCACACTTTGGGTACCCTGAGAATTCAGCATTGCTCACCAGTCCCAAAAGTATTTCACTTCTTGTTTCTACCACACAGTACTCTCTGAAGCCAACTCTTATTCTCCCATTGGTCTTCTCTGGCTACTGTTTTAAATCTTGACACTCCCCCCTCTCCCACTATGGATGTGCTCAATTTTTGGTCCTCTCACCTGCTTTAAATACACTCTCTCTTCGAGAATGCAGCCACATCACTAGAATGGCAACTCCCAAATCTAGATCCAGATCCAGAGCTTGCAGCCAATACAAAAGCACACAAAGGCTTCAATCCTGGTTTGAATCCTGGCACTACCATTTGCTATCTGTATGACTCTAGGCTAATTTACCTCTCAATGCCCAGCTGTTACCCCTATACAGACAAAAAAGAAAACCTACCTAAATAGGTTGTTGTGTGCTAATACAGGTAAAGAATATATTTAGTACAATTCCTAGAACAGAGCATGCACTCAGTATGTTCTCAACTAATAATTACGACAATAGAATGA